AATGGAATATCGAGGGGGGGTGGGGAGACGGTGGAGGGGAGGGGGGGAGAGGAGAGGAGGAGGAAGGGGTGCACGAATTTTGTTTGATGTCTAATCTAATTCACAGTGGCTAAAATTTATTCAGAAGACAAACTCTAGCCATGCAGCAATAATGTTTATTTGAGAATCGATTTTTTGCTTCTGCTTGAAAACTGATTAACTTCTAAATTCAGTTGCAAGAAGCACTTCAAAAAAAAAAGTGAACTGATGTAAAATATAGAAAAAAAATAACATAATTAGCGTAAACATAAATTCTTTCTTCGATGAACTATAACTGAAGCAAAACAAGTTGGAGCTATCACAAAAAACTTCAGCATAATTTATGAGTTATGCAGTGCTGCACTGAGAGAAATGAACTGTGTTTGGGTAATTGGACGGAACTAATGAGGTTATGTTTTATCGCCGAAGGCGAATATTCCAAGTTGAAAGTGCTGTAAATTTCAGAGTTTGCGGGAAAATGTTGGACATGCAACGAGCAGGATGCTTTTATTGTCGCAGCAGTTTCCTCAAAGTTTTGTTGGTGGTGTGGGTGCATTGGAGATGAATGTGAAGAAGTATCCGGGTAAACCCATGTCACCGTATGGATTTACAAATTCGGATCCTTTATGCTCCGGAATTTGCTCGAATCCACGGTATTTCGCTTTCTTTCTTCAGCAATGATTTATCCTTTTTTTTCGTGCTACTGTGAAACTGATTACAATCCTCTACTTCGGTTCCCCTTTTCTGTTTTGCTGTGACGTAAAATGTGTTTTCGATTTAACTGACAGCTTGGCACAGGCTAGGAGAAGGGGTACTATTTTCGATACTTTATTCAGCATTTTTTTCTTATCGGTGTGCTTTTTCTTGCCATCGGTGTAGCTTGCAAACTTCTCAGCTCTCTTCTATCCTGAGCTTCCCGGACAATACTGTAATTTTTAGATTCAAGCGGCCTCCGGTATTGGTCATTAGCCTGGATGGATTTGCATACGAATACATTGAACGAAATGTTGTAAAAACATTTAATCGCTTCAAAAAGTGTGGCACTAGTGCTGAGGTAATTTTAAGGTTGTTTGAAAGAATTTTTCTGATTTTATCGCCCAGTTCATCTTTCAAGCAGTTCCATTGCAAAATTTTAGTTAGCACTGAAAAGCATCAGTATATTTCCATCACTCATCGACATGCCTAGATAGATACTCTTGTATCAAGTTTGTCAAATAATTTAGCCTCAGGCAATTTGTATGAATTCTTTAGCAATGTATTGTTGCGCTTGCGCTACTCAGCGCTTCCATTTTCAGTTCCTAGCATCTTAATTGCAATTTTTAGCTTATTCTTATTTTTCCTGGTATTTTTCTTTCAATTTGCAGTGGATGTACTCATCATATCCTTCGAAAACATTTCCTAATCACTATACAATGGTCACGGGTTTATATCCAGAAGCACATGGCATCATTGATAACAATATTTATGATCCTTCTATAGCAGCATATTTGGTAGACGTAAGGAGAAAAAGCGATTCGAGATATTATAAAGGCGAACCAGTAAGTTTCCTGTTTTAACGATTTTTTTTTTTTCAGAAATGCCCTCCCACAGATTTTCTTGAGCTCTTTTATTTTGAAAAGTCAAGAGAAGTTGACTCCGTAGTTTTTCTTTTAAGATTTGGGTAACAGCTGCGAAACATAACTTGAAAACAGCATGTCTGTTTTGGGCGGGATGCAGCATCGATTTCAACGGTATGTCTTGTAACATATAGTAAGTGCCAGATCCTTCTGTGTTTATTTTTTCATTTACATGATATTAACATATTTTGCATATATGTGAACTCCTGATAACGGTTACACCTTTGGCCATGAAAATGCATTAGTGATAAATAACGTTTCTTGATAAAAAATCAATTTTGGAAAATAGCTGCATAGCAGACCAAGTCAGTTCCTCTTTGGTTTTGGAGTTAGTACAGTTTACTTTGAAAAAATCTCTCATCTATGTGGTCCTGAAAAGCCGTTATGTGTGGACACTCCAATTTCCAGGCATCCGCCCAACTTATAATCTTCCATATGACAGTAAAATGGATTGGAAAACGCGATATAATAAGGTAGAATTTATTCTATTTCGCTTCTTTATCCATCTGTTTATGCATTTCCCCTCTCCCTCCCCTGTTGTCTCTCTTTCATTCTTACACGTCTTGTTTTTTGCATAAACTGGAAATGCCTTATTTCAAGTTTGTGCATGTAAGTGTACTTAGCTCTACAATTCAGTTGACGACCCTGCGAAACTTAGAAACATGAAACTTTGGATACGCAGCTGCTTGGCACTTGCGAAATCAAAGATTTGATTACAGTTCTGATTTCTCTCCTCACTTTTGACCGTAGCAGTAGCACTGCTACGTATACTGCATAATCTCCAGTCGGAAATTACACGTGTAAGGGCTACTGGTTGGCGCAGATTTCCAGCAGCGTTGACGTCTTTGATGCACTTAATCGGAATGACCGTGCCCACCTGTTCTGTGCCACTCCGCCAAAAGCAATATCGTAAATGGTCACTGACGAAAACCAAAGAGCGAACACTGTCTGTCACAGGTAGAACAGTGAAGTGAGAGGTGTTTAGAGTGATTCTGTTTGTAACTATTTAAGAAATCACACCCATCTTTGGTGGAGAGACCCACTATTTATTTGCGAGGAAATAGGGGTCACGCAATTGGTTCACTGAAGAGTTGGTGTGCATGTATTGAACACTAGCTGGAAGTACGCGATTCGGGATCGGTAGATCGGTTCTGGACCGGGAATAACTGCCCACGGCGTGTTTAAACATCCTAGTAGCATTATTAACATGGAACTTCCACACCGATTAATGCGTACATTTACACATTCATGTACAAAAATATTTCTGTAGCTAGTGCATCCACATAATCCGGTCACCGTTTAGTATTGCTAGAATCCAGTAACAACTCTTTATGCAAATTAGTATTTGTTAGTGCGGTAAAAAAATCGGTCGTCAGTGCTGAAGTTATTTTTGTTTTGCAGCTGTTGGAATGGTTGCTATTGCCGGAACATTTAAGGCCCTCGTTATTGTTGGCATATTTTAGCCAGCCAGATGGTGTCGGTCATGTTCAACACAGCGATGAGCAGGTACAAAGACCTCTTTTTTTAGTCCCTCGGTCAACTGTCATTTTTTGTAACCTGTTGCCCCACCAGCAACATAATTGGCAGTTTCCGCACGGTTATTCTTGTTGAAGCGGTGCCGCGTAGTGCTTTGTCTTCTGCTCACCCCGGGTTTTTCACTGGAAAAACTAAAAAATCGGGTAAACTTTGTATTCGATTTGCCGTGAGAAGTCAATCCACTCGTAGTTGACTTGAGGGCCGCATATTGTCAAAAACTCCCATGCGTTAGCAAAACTACTTATGCTGAATTCCTAGTTTGAGGACTGCTCAGAAGCAAGCTCATGGCAGTTTTAACTCTTTGTCGTATTCTCAGATCAATTTGTGCTGGTTTTACTGCTTGCGGAATTGCACTGTCGATGTTTAGCATGAGAGTAGCGCTTCTTGCAGCCAGAACAGTATCGCTAGCTGTTGTTTCTTACTGCTGGATTCATTGGTGTTACGGACTTCTTTATCAAACTCTGTAAACCGTAAAAGAGATTGAGGGTCAACGAAGATATCAGGTGTGATATATACTAATAAATAAAAGGCAATTAAATGAGTAGGAATGTTTCGGTCCATTAATTCTGCACACATTCTATTCAGCACAACAATTAGACCTCATTGGTGCAACGGTTATGTTACTGATAAGCAGCTCATCAGAATAATCTGGTTGACTCGTAGAGCTCATAGAACAGGGATTCAGTTTTAAGAATGAAAAATCTCTTGTATGTGTCAATTTTTGTGCTTTTTAGGTGAATAAAGTTCTAAAACAAATTGATTCTGGATTACAGTATTTTCTACATTCACTGTCAGAACATAATCTGCTGGGTTGCTTGAATATTATCGTCGTGTCTGATCATGGTAAATCATTCCTGAACTAAGCTGGCTTGCACTGCTTTTTTGCTAAATCGGTCATTTTTCTTTAATTCAATTCTGAAGTCTTGAAAACTTTACTTCGTACACAGTGAAAAATGGAAAGAGTCAAGCCACTGCGACAGCAGCACGCATGCATCTCGATGGATTCGTTTTTTTGAGTTGGGCCAGAGAAGGACAGTTTTCGGACCCTAAGTCTACTAGTCTAGTCACTAATTCTATTCGCTACCGAAACAACGCCAGAAATTCGTTGAGACTTGGTGGGCTACGCGTTGCAGTGTTAATTTTGTTATTTGCTTTTTTTTGGTGCACGGAGAATGTTTAAAACAGCCGGATATTGTTAAACATTGTGCTGCAGAAATTCAAAAAATTTTAACAGGAAAGGATGAGCTTTCTCCTAAGTGCAATATTTGAGTGAATTTCTTAATAATGGACGAAAATGTTTGCAAATTTTATGTCTTTTGAGGTATGCAAAAATTAAAAAAGCGTATTTATATGAATCGTTTATTGAATACGGAACGTATGATTGTTTCAAGCAGTGTTGTGGCGCAGTTACATTTGGCGAAATCGAGTAGGTTTCTTTTTGCTTGCTCACTGATGGAATATAGGAAATGAAGATTTTTAAAATAAGTACCAAAGTGGTGTGAGGAGTTAAAATAATCCCAGGTAGCATTCATCGCTTGTTTGTTGTATGTGAGCTTGCCTCTTCGATGGCCGATCGAGTTTTCACTTTTCTCGTCGTGATTACCACTCACTGATAACTGAAAAAATTGGGGCTCGAAATCAAATAATTCAAAGAAATCGGAACTGAAAATTCTGTTTCAAAACAGCATACAGCAAAAAGTAAGTAGATTATTAGTTCCTCCATTGTGATTTGATATTTTAATTCCAGAAGTGAGTAAAAATGAGGTGCTAAGCCGTTTGCGGTGCATGAACCGTGGTACCATTTTTCGTATCTACGATCGTGACCACATCCCGAAGCGTTATCATTACGAAGCATCCAGTCGTATTGGTGATTTGGTTATTGAGGGACAACCGGGAGCGATAATTTTTGCGTTAGCTTTTACTGCTCTTAGATAATCGAAAAGACGCATTGCTTCAGATCTTTTTAGGTTTTCAGCAGAACTGGAGTTGCTTGTTTGTATAGCCTAAGTGTTAGTAGTCTACCAACAGCATCTGCCCATTGGCATGAGTCCTTTGTGAATAATTCGCAGTGTACCTATCGGAATGCCTAATGGCCGTGGTAGTAAAATTTTGGAAAACATTTACGAATGGGCTTATGCATAATTTGACCTTTGCAGCGGTCGTAACAAGGACCACGGCCTGACAGGTGATCATGGTTACGATTACATCAGCCCCACAATGCGAACGATATTTTTCGCTGCTGGCCCATCTATTCTAAACGCAAAACACGTCCGGCCATTTCAAAATATCGAATTGTATAATTTACTTGCAGGTAAATGTGGCTAGTTTTTGTGACTGGAGCTGAATGTAGAGTCTGCTGATAGGATATGAAATTGCTTCATTGCAGCAGTACAGCGATTTGTAATACAGCTGAAGTGGTGTAGAGAAGTTCTCATTGAAAGAAAAATGGAAATGTTTCAGTCGTCACCAGTTTCTCCTGAGCAAACGTAAAATTCAGCTACGATTAGTAAAATATTGACATTGAGGAAAAGAGATATGGCTGAGTGGGAGCAAAAACCAACTAGAAATGTGTTAAAATCAGCTTAAAAATGACTAACTGCAAACGTCCAGATTCATAAGCATTATTTTTGACACTAATTCGCCGAAAAGTATGGCATTCAAATAAATGATTCACAAAAAAGAATGGGAGAGGTAGGGGAAGGTACGACAAAATCGTTTTTATGCGTTTGTGCTGTGTAACAGCAGTACAAAACGCATATTGTCTCGGGGTTGTCTGTGTGTGTGTGTCCGCAACTTTCAACTCGGGAACCACAGAAGCTAGGAAGCTGAAAATTTAGGAGAACGTTCCCCACCCACATATGACCCCGCAAATTTAAATGTAGCTTCCCCGTACCCGCGGGTAACGCGTACGGCCCCGTGAAAGTTTTTTACGGGTAAGTTAATAT